AAATTACTGATACTGATATGTTCTGTTTTCAATTTTCCTGTACATAAAACATGAAAATCATGAAATTTCGCTTTGAAAAAGTGCTAAACATGTCGCGAATGGTGTTACGGTAACTTGCATAATTTTTGCATAATTTTGCTTTTTTGTGCATAATTTGGCCTTCTAAATTGGCATAATTCTACGGGGACAGTTATAGAATCCATTTTGTTTCTAGGTGAGACACCTCAAAGACAAAGTCATGACGACAAATAATTTTCATTGAAGTGTTTATTTTTGCACCAAAAATATCCATCATTCATCACAACTTGAGCACCCCAATTTCCAAATTCACAAAATCAGTATTTGTGGCCACATGCTGCATTGACAGTTGATTGACACTGTCAACCAAGGGAAAATATAAGTTGTTTGATAAATGTAGGGGAGATCTGCAGCCAGATTCTTTCTAGCAATTGCTCCAGTTCATCTAACCTTTGGAGCTGGTTTTGTTGTTGCCTTTAATCATTTTCCTGGAGACAGAATAGATACTTTCTTGTTCCCAGTCCGTGATAGTCCAACGCAAAGAGCATGCCACCCAAATTTGATGTGGCTGGGTTTTAGGACTGAAAGTTGGTCTGTAAGGTCTTATGTTTATTAATATTACCTGCTGATGATTCCTTACAGTTCTCTCTGAGCTTGGTCTTATTCCAGGGATATTATGTGTGTGGGGTCAGTGATGCAGGACGCAATCTTTTTTTAAGATGAATGTGGTGGATGTGTCAGTCTTGTCTCTGGGTTAGGATCTGAGGCTTACCACTTCTAGGTCGATCATTCATTATGCCTGACACCCTGACACAAGCCCACAAACCTGCATTGCTGTTTCTGTTGAGATTAAGTCTTTGAGCTGTCTGCTTCCAGCCTGAAGCATTCTTAGCGCTCACCATGTATCATTTTCTGACAGGTGTGACATGTTTTGAAACCAAACAAAAAAACCTAGAGAGTACCAAAGAAAACGGAAAGAGTCACACATTGTCCCAGACGACTTTAGAGAGATGTGACCTCTGGGTGGGTTTATGACAAAGAGTGGTCAGCTGTGATAACCAATCACAGTGGCATGAGACATGCCATTTTCACTTATCGTGAGTCTCAAGATCTACACTTATCCAGTGAGTCTCAAGATCAACACTTATCTAGTTGCTCCTCCCCTTTACCTATCCCAAATTTATAGCTTTCCATCTCTGAGTTTTCCCACCTTTGTGGTTACGCAGCATTACGTTTTGAACACACCAATTAAAATTTAGTTTGTCTCACAAAATCGGGAGTAGAGACAACTGCTGCAATGGTCAGGGAAGCATTCAGTTCGATGTGATCCCACGTAGAGCGAACTTGTAGGACCTACCCACCCATCGTGTGATGTAAGTTTAGGTGGAGAGCTCAGATGCGAGTGCGATGTTTAGGGAAAACAAATGCATCGGCAGTTCACACTGCGACGCTTGACAATGATGCAGTCTATCTGGTGTAAATCTCCGCTTGGGCTACACCACGTCCATCTCCTTGTTGCCTTATTTGGGCTGAAAGTGTTCATCAGCTTTAGGTCGTTATAGCTGGCAAGTTCCAGGAGCCGTAGACCTCTGCCATTGGTGTTGGTATTGCAGCAGTCCCAGTCCTTCACTGCGTCTTCCCCAATATTAGATTTCCAGTCACCTTGTACTACAATGATATCCCTCTTTGGTGTTTCGTCCAGTACTTCTTATAGTTGGATGTAGAAATCCTCCACTTCTTCATCGTCATGTGCTGTTGTTGGTGCATATGCTTGGATGACAGTGATGTTGAAATGGGATGCTTTCAAGCTTATGGCCATAAGTCAGCAGGAAACTAGTTGGCAACCCAAGACAGCATTCACAGTGTCTTTTTGAATGAGTATTCCAACTCCGTTTCAATGGCGGTCTTCTTTGCCACTGTAGTATAGTTTATGCCCTTCTGTGGTTGATGTTTCTCCAAAGTTCTTCCAGCGTAACTCACGCCCAAGACGGAATAAGACAAGACGGGACAACAGCCTCATTTTCGTTCCAACTGGCTCCCCTTGGTAACCAGCTAGCTGCGCGTTTAAAGCGTAAACAAACGACAGGAAGAAAGAGCACACTGTTCAACTCGCTGAAATAGCTGCCTTCTTTGAATTTCATAATGGCAGTTTTGCCTTGTTTTTTTTCTCCATATAAACTGTTTGGTACCGTGTATTTATCTTGACAGGTTTTTGTTCACATTTTGAATGTAGTGAGTTGAGGAATTTAAGGTTTTTATGAACGGAAAGCGGTATAAGTGGGTTGAACATGTTCAGTGACATGATGATGTAGATCTAGGAATTTACGAAACGTAGAAGTAGATTAGATCTTACAGTTTAAAAACGACAGAACAGCCAATGGTGCTCTGCAATGAACTGTTGTCTAACAGAATATACAATAGATTGGCTATTTTGTAAACTAAAGATACGGCCACTGCTAGAGTCCAGCAGTTTAACTGTTGACTAGATCTAGATCTAGATCTAGATTAACTACACAGCGAGCTGTTCCCCAAAGTCAGAATCAATGATCATGAACTGAAGCCAGGAAACAATGGCACTCCTGTACAATAGCGGTCCCGTTTGCACTAAATCACTCAAGGCCTAAGTGCCCCTGTGGTAATTTTTACATGTTTCTTATTTAGATTTAGGCCTAGATTATAGCTAGAATCTAGATCTAGATCTAAACTGAATTAAAATTATAGATCTAATCAAGATCTAGATCTAAATAGATCTAGCTATCTAGATCTAGAAATATGTTATCTTGGCTATCTATATCTAGATAGAATCTAGAGATATCTAGATCCAGATCTAAATCTAGATCTAGATTCACTCCCACATTGCAATAATGACCGTCATGTAAACATTAAACGTGACCACAATTGTACAGGTGCACCGAAAAAGAAGCCATTGAAACAAGCACCGAAGCTTAAGTAGATCTATGTACTGTTGATATTATAGTATGAATCAAGTTGCATGATATAGATCTAGAGTGTCTCCGCCAATTCACAGACATACCGCTTGTCAAGAATTACCCTTCGGCCATTCGCCAACCACTTAAAGGCCTAGATCTAGATCTACTTTCCGAACTGCACACTCTTGGCTGGGTGCACAACAAAATCTAGACTCTCTAGATCTAGATCCTAGATCTAAATCGGCTACGTTTATTCATTCCCCCTCTCTCTCCCCCTCTCTCTCTCTCTCTCTCTCTCTCTCTCTCTCTCTCTCTCTCTCTCTCTCTAATATTGATTTTAGTAGGCCTTGGCTAGACATACGCATACGACATACCGCCCAAGTTGATCGCAGTAGCCTTGCAGCATTGTAACCAATGTAAACTATCGCCAGCCCAGCGAGTTATACCAGAGAGTTTACAGTAATACTACTGTAAACCCTCTCTGGTTATACGCGCAGCTGGCAAAGTGGGAGGGGTCTGCACTTGTCACATGACGTAAAGAAGACTTTTTTCGTCTTGTCTTATTTGTCTTGGCTCACACATTCCCAGGGTATTCCAATGATATATCGTTAGGTAGGGAAAAGGTTATGGCGTATGTTTCTTCTTTTCTTTTCTGTGAACTTTGGCGTCTTTTGTTAAGTTTTCCTGTAACTTCTTTTTGTGTGTATGCTTTCTTTTGTCAAAACTTGGTATTATGAATGCATATGTATTGAAAGGGTCATTGTGCAATGAATGGGCCAATATGCATAAACTGTATTACTGTGTAAGCTGTGGAAATGTTATTATTTGTTTAACACTCAAAGCCACAAGAGAGTGGGCACTGTAAAATGGGTCTCTATAATTGCTATAATTATCATTATTATTCAGTGATACAGTCTTTCTGATTTTTTTCCAATTGTTATTTCCATTATTTTCACAAAAAAGAGTGGTTATTATTTTTAGCATTTCCCCCCTTTATTACTCCATATAAGGTGTATTTATTCAAAGTGTTTGTGCATTTGATTATTATATCATCATCCTCATTATTATTATTATTATTATTATTATTATTATTATTATTATTATTATTATTATTATTATTATTGTTATTATTATTATTGTTGTTGATATGTGGGACATGGACTGACAAGTCCTAGTAATGAAATGTGACAAAAGACGTTTTGATTAAAAGGCACATTTGTTGTGTGCTCATCATGGCTTCCATACAATAATAATCATCTAAACCTGTACTTACAGACAGAAGAGTGATTGAGCTATTCGTTACGAAAGTATTTAGGATTATATGTTGGCATTTAAATTATAAACTTGAGTTTTATTATTACATGTATTAACAATTATTATTATTAATATTCTTATTATTACTGTTGTTATTGTTAATGTTACTATTATTGCATATTAAAAGTACTCTATAAACCACCATTCAATGGTATAGACATTTCTGTAGTGAGACAGTGTTCCAGTGACTGAGTGGTTTGTAAGTTCTGGCTCACAAATAATGCCAGCTCATGTTAATGGCCTAAAAGTGGGTCGTCATAGGGTTGTGTTTTCAAAAAAGTCGTGACGTCTGTGACATTAGGTGAGGGGTCAGTGAGGTGTGTGTGTCCTTGAGCAAGTCAATGTGATATAACCTCAAAAACAAGACACTGTGCATAGGCTAGCAGCAATGCCAATAAATGATTCAAATAATGGTCATATGTTATTTATTATATGATGCTTATGTAAGCTCTAAAATGTTTTGTGTATTTTACTTGCTGTTGTAACCCAAATTTGCCCAAGAAAAAAGGTGTTATTTTTTCCTGTTTTACATTCACTGTGCTTTTTCATTAGATTCCTGTTCAACGTAGAAAATAACGAGAATAAGGTATGGAAATAGGGGTCCTGAAGATCATCCTGTTCACTCTATTTCTGGCCCATATAACAGGCGCAGTGAATGTGTTCACATTTTCAGTTCTAAAAGCTGTTTATGTCCGTTGTGAGTCCATTGGATGCAGGGATTTTCTATTGTTTCCACAGAGTCATTGATGCAAGCATGAAAAACTTTAAGGCTTTCTTTCGGTGGCTGTACATTGGTGAGATTTTTGTAGTTCATTTTTAAGTAATTGCTCCTGATGACCAAATATTATTCTTTAAAATGGGTCACTCCTCATCAGTTTCTTTGATGTGATATTAATGATTCTATTTTCTGCTGGGATATAGTGTCCTACTCAGCTCTGGCTCTCCTGACAAACAGCATCAAAGCAGCCTGCCCCTTGAATTATCTAAATTTTGTCGATGGGGGTGTTAAAGGTTTACAGTTGCATAGGTCACTCCTCTAGTTAAGAAGAAACAAAATGTACCCAACATGGACGGTGGCAACATCTGCAAAACTTTGTTAGTTTCAGATGACAGGTGTGACATATTTTTTGCACAATGGACAGATAGCTTCAAAGGAACCTTTTCCAGACAAGAGATACAAAAATATCTTCATCAACAGCGGTGGTGACATCATTCTGAGATTACTTTGTAGAATTAATATTTTCTGATCAGAATTTTCTGACTTTTATACCCTTTTATACGAGTGTGTGCTATTGGTAAATGTGACAAATACTTTGGGGAAAGATTTTGCAATGATAAAAAACAAACAAAAGCATCCTTGATCCCATGCCTGCTTGTATGAGAAAGACAAGGTAATACATTTCTATGAAGGGTGAAGAAATGTTGAAATTATCACAATGGTTAACTTTGTCTTGTAGTATGCCTTTTATAAATAGTGACATTTTTACTTTATGTGTAGCAATTTTCTTTGCTGGTTTAAAAAAAAAATCTATCTTGTAATGACACTGTCCACCAGTAGGACCATTTGTCTAAGATGACCACTTTTCTTTTCAACAATGGTGTCTCGAACAGGCTCAGCTGTATATTTTCATAGTGGATAACAATGAGAAGCATATATGGTGGGTTGATCAGGATTGTTAAAAAGATCTCATGTTTTTTGGCAATTCTAACTGCAGACCTCACTTGGCTAGTCTGTTCTTTCCGATTTTCCAATTCAGTACGGGTACTTTTAAGGCCTGGGCTTGTGTACAACCGTTTATGTATTTGAGTTCGAGGCCTGCATGACAATTTTCTGTTTTTCTTTTTTTCTTTCAAAGCTATAATGAGACTGTCAAATGAGCAGCTTCCTCCTGATTTAGCCAAGGTAAGACCCCTTTGTTTTGACTATCCAGTTTTAGTATTTTGGGTGGGGGCTGTTGTAAATAAAGTGAAAATGTCTTCTCATGTATTATTTTGATTTATTATTCACTAGTATTATACACAGTGGCAATAGAAACTTTTCACTTGGAAAGAAGCCTTTATTGTGTTTATTATTCAACATATAAAAAAATAATTGACACAGACATATTTCAAAGAATGACAAGAAGTGTATTACCTTTTGCTTCTTGATCATGTCCCTTATGGTGGCTCAGTATTAACCACAAACTGGTACTCCTCACGAACTGGTACTCCTTGATTAAAAAATTTGTCGTCAATAGCGGGTATTGTCGCCCCTTGCAATGATGCAAGCTTGGCATGTTCTGTGCTTTGATCGGGTCAGTTTTTCTTTTTTAAAGTCGTTGTACAATGTTGATGTCGTTTTGGGTGCACATCTTAGGCCCACAGTGGGACTTGTGTGGTGAGTAGACTGGTAATGGCAAAACATTCACATTTTGCTGCTGTAAATATTGCCACCTTTACACGGGCAATGTGTGGGCGGGTATGTCTTGATGCAATGTGTGCATATGTCTATAGGTTTGAAAGAATTGAACCAAGTACCTCCGGAGAACATTGTGGCACTCGTTGGCATCGACTGTAGCTTTGAAAATGTGTGGCTAGGTTCTGTGGTTGGAAGATATTCAAACCCATACCATCACACTGTCACCACCCCATCTGTCTAGTTCAAGCGTGCAGCAGTCTGCTAGTCTCTCTCTCTCTTTCCTTTATGTGTCAAAACTCTCCGAGAAGAGAACTCCATTGCAGACAAATGTGACGATTTGCCCAGTCAGTTCAAGTGTAATTCTTGCAAAGATGGCAAACATTTGTCATTATAGGGCTGCCCTGCTCGATGTTGGAACATGTTTTAACGCCGTTGTATCCTTTTTTTTTTTGCTGATAACTCTTCCAGTGTCTGTATGAAATTGAGGTGCATAGCTGGTCGTTGTGAGAAAGCAATCTCAAAGATGCCAGAGCAGTATTTGTCTGCAGGGGTGAAGACTGACTTGTTTGACAGGGTAATCAAAGTGAAATGGGACCAGATAGGGCCTGTAGATATCACACAAGAATCTTACTCGAGGCGGCGACTCTGAGTTGTGAATGAAAACAAATCCGGAATTCATATTGTATGTTCAACCGCCAAAATAATCGGGAAAGTATCTTATTAAATATCAGTTCCCACTAAAATTAAACTTAACTTTAGATGTGAATACATAAACATAAAGCAAAGAAGCAGAGATGTCAGTACTAGATCTATATGTTATAGATCTACCAGTGAGTCTAACTCTTTGGTAGAACATGACAATTATTATTTTTTAAATTTCACATTTGGCTGTTTTTGTTAGCCTTTCGCGGCCAGGAGCTGGTGTCATAATCGAGGTCATGATCTGATTATAGGATGGTAAAAAGTCGAGGAAAAAAAACAAGCACATGCAGCAGTCAAGAGATTATTAAGAGTTAGTTCCCCTCACATTTGTGAGGTAGACTCGACCAGTGTTAGTTAGCTTACTTAATCAGGGCTTGTGATTGATTTTAACTGTGGCCCCAAAGGGGTGAACAGGGTATATGTGGCAATGAAACAGCTTTGACTGCCATGCACATGTTCCCTTCAACTCTATTCCAGCTTCACTTTATTTGTTGATTACGAACGTCTTTTGACATTTAATTTATGAGGTTTACGTTTAAGGATGAATTTGACAGCGACAATGTTTCAAAATTAGAAAGGGAAGCAGTGATTATTTGATTATATAGACGCTTTGCCCTTATTTGTCTGTCTTTTTGGACAGTATCGACCTGTGGTCTGCCTGGTCTGGGTCTGTCACGTGTAACTCCATTGATTTGGACCCTATCTTTTGGGATATTGATGGTAGGATGGGAGCGATGAAGCATCCGCACCACTCTACGGGCCAATAGGACAGCTTGGAGTATTCAAATTGCCCAACAGCGCTCCTCGAGGTTTAGCCTTGTCATCTTGTACAGCAATATATGTCAACAAAAACCAGCTGTAATGTATATATATATGAAACTTGTTTTTTTGGTTCTAAAATCGCTAATGTGTTGATCTAAACACAATTTAGACAATTTTATAATTTGGGCGGAACTTAAGTCAGAAACATGTTAATTCATATGTAAGTCACGTGACCAGATGGTTAAAATATTGTTCAAGAAAAAGATCAGCGTTGAGTTGTCATTGGGTACATGGTAAGGGATGTGCAAAATTTCGCTCACCAACTCCTGTCAGGTGAGCAAGTGTGCAGTTACACAAAGCAAAGTGGAAAATTTCTTATCGCCACAAATGTTAATCACCTGTCTCTCTCTGGGGTTTATAGGATTTTGTGTTTAAATGCACCATTTTGTCCTTCTGTGTAAAGGCTCAGGTGGCCGGACTGCTTCTGCTGAAAAGTTGTACTTGTATTTCTTTGCAAGCCATCATTATTTATACCTACCCCCCTTCCAACTTTTTGCTAATTCAATGCATCAAATGAATCTACAACTCTCACCAACAAACTTGGGAAATAGGATGACTTAAATTTTAGCAGCATTGTCCCCTTTTAAGAGTTCATTTGCCTACTGGTAAGGTACTTTCCTTTTGAGCCAAAATACCTATTTTGATTACCTGGTCGTACATACATGGTTGTCGAGTACTTTTTCCTTTTTGTCTGGTTTCATCCTGGTAGGATGGAGCTACTAATAGCTGATGGTAAAGACAAAAAGCCACAAAGGTTTTGAGTTCATGTTACACATGTTAAAGACACTTTGACAGCTGGAGTCTGGTTAGAATGAATGATAAGTTATAGTAGCAGCACAGGTCTCATTAATAAAAATCAAGTGCATTGTGTGTTGAAGTACTAAAGGCTGGTCACTGCTGAGGAGTGAAGAAGAAGAAAAACAAAAAGAACACTCCTTTTGATATGGTACTCTTTTTCTTAGTGCATGCAATAAAAATAATCAAATTATATTAATGTATTTTTACAGATGACGCAGCATGACATCAACTTTGTGGCTGAGTTTCTCAGAGATAATTTCGGTGAACCTGAGGTATGATGGCAAATGTGCATTTTAAAAAGTATTGTTTTTTTATTATATTTATTATACAGTTAACTGAAGTTTTTTTTTAACCCCTTGACTGCTTACCATAAGTCTACCCCATGTGCTAAGGAAATTTCCACAGTGGCTGCTTTTTGAATGAGTATAGCTCGCTTACTATAAGGACTAGATATAGCAAAGTATATGTCAAATAAAAGAAAAATGAACATACAGTCCTTTGGTGTTACTCATTTTTAGGTAGTATAAATATTCTGTACCAGGTACCCCCACAGAGCAGGCAAGGGGTTAAGAGATAAGGTTTCTTATAAATATATATATATATATTTAAGATCAGCTGTAAGTCATTAGAAGGGCTGGATTCTGCTCGGTTAATCGAAGGCTTGTAAAGCAGTGGAAGTCTTGCGCTAGAGTCTTGCGAGCAGGCTTGTGGTTTGATTTGCCTCCCGCTTGCTACCGGAGGGAACTTCCGGTGAGTTGTGACTCGCGGACAGTCCTGCTGTACTGTGTCGTGACGTCGCGAACTCTCGTGGCAGTGGCCTCAGTACATATTATAGATTCTCTGGTTATTTGCGTTGAGAGGCTTGCACCAAAAGTGCAAGATCGGTTGTTTTTTTTTCATAGTTCGGTTGTAAAAAACAAAAAGCTCTATTCAATGCACTTAAAAATTAATATTGGATCGGCTATTATTATGATGTTCAGGCCTGTTTATTTTTAATGTGCACGAGCCAAGCGCTTCATCGTCGCACGCAAAAGACCTCAGTTCGATTCCCGTATGGGGAGAAATTTTTACTGAGAACCTCCGTCTTTCTGCTGGGGCGTTGTTCCCTCTCAGCCCAGGTTGGCCCTGACCTTGGGTTGAAGTAGGCCTAGCCCGTCTCCTAAATGTTCTGTATTATGTCACTGTGAGTGTAACACATCTACAAAATAGGTTACATACATACGATACAAAAGCCAATCACAACGACCCCTGGAGTTCTCCATTCTAGGGTAATCTAAGTCTACTTATTCTTATTATTATCAGAAACCTAGGTCTCTGTTACTACAATACCATGCTCCCTCTCACTTATCCATTCGCTTAGCTGATCAACGGCGGGAAGTTAAAAATAACTTCAGCTCTCTACGCCTTGCACCAAAACAAGCCCAGCCTCTCCCTTCCTCCACGGTTCAAAGTTCACACAGCGCACAGTACTGTCTTGCTGTTTGAACACATCGGACTGTCTTGTCGCCATCAAGACGGTCCTACGCCATCGAGCCCGTGCCGCTCGCTCGGTGTATCGAGACAGTACAAGTCAGCAGGTCAGGTTTGGAGCTTGTCCTGGGGCAAATCTGTAAGCCTAGCGCAAATCAGTACTGTGTGAATTGTGGGGCCTGTGGCAGCGGACGGGACTTGAGGCTTGCGCAGGCCTCGATTAATCGAGTAAACTACAGCGCCACGCCGCGCAGTGACTCCGTGGGCGAGATCTCTCACTCTCCCCCTCTCTCTTTTTCTGACGTAAGTGGCTTCGCGGATTGCAAGCAGGGTGGGGATGATGAGGGGGCCTGACACGAGTGGCTTCGCGGATTGCTAATTGCTGTGGACTTGAAGTTTAGACTAGACCAAGGAGGTTACAGTTTGCGCTAGACTCAACTTATCATGCTGGTGATTTGATTTGATGATTTGACCTACTGATTTGAGGCTTGTGACTTGAACTAGGGGCTTGTGAGCACGAGCGGGTTTGCTACCGGGGTACAGCCCTAGTCATTAGCCAAGTATATTTACACTCTACTGGAATGGAGCAATAAATTTTGAGAGAAAAGTGACGCACATGTTTCCAAGTTGCCAAATATATAACAGATGTATAGATTGATTCTCTGTTCCGTTTTCGTGGTTGTACACTCCCGAATTTCAAAGGTGTGGGACCAGTATGCACTGTTTATGAACGGAACCCTCACTTGTTTACAATGGCGTCTTTCCCAAGATTAGACCTAAATGAAACTAATGAAAAACTGAAAATTAAACTACAGTGACTTCAGACTCGATAATATAACTGCGCACCCTGTAAATGATTCTGAACCACTGTTAATTTTGTCAAATTCGAAAGTTAAGTGGTTGGGAAGTTTTAGGAGGCCAAAGTGATGAACTTTCACAAAAATAATATATATATATATATATATATATATATAATATATTTATATATGTCTTTGTGTGTGTGTGTGTGTGTGTGTTGGTTAACCTTTGTTGGTTAATTACCCTTCATGTTAGATACTAATGTGAAAATTTGTTTGGTAAAGGGTTGTCATCCCCAAATGTTGCGTGTACAGCAGAACCCAGGACAGAATTGCAAAGGAGAAAGAAAAAAATTCTGCCTTAGACTTGGACATTGAGTCTTCGGAGGAGTGAAGTTTTTTCTGTGTAATAAGATGAGGGGAACATATTTTATGGCTGGCAATGGTCAAATTAATTTCACACCTCTAGCTATCCAGGAAAGGTTCCATACTAGAGTGCCACTTGATCACTTTCAAATGCAATTGTGTGAAATCACATCCACACCACTCTGATCATCTGCACCTCTCAGGGCTCACACGGATGGGGGTACAGCTACCCCCAAATGGAAGTTTTGTTTCAAATCAAGGCTGGCGGGCAAAGCATTTTCTGTCTTAAGACATGTCAAAATCTTTCGAAGGGAACTAATTTCTCTTTCCGTTTCCGTATTGAGCAAGTTTTAATCTCAGACAGATGTATTACAGAGGAATTTATCACGCGGGAAGTGAGGATATTCCGTTATAATAGGTTGTTTTTTTTGTGTAACAGGATTCTGTTATGGCAGGATTGGCTGTGCTTGTTGTGATGATGTGGGTCAACTCGTATGTGTATATATTATGTATCATTGGTGTGCGAAATGGACCATTTGTGTTCCAATTTAGGTCAAATACTTTCTGTCTGTGGGTGGCTTCTTATTGCATTTGAAGAGAGTGAAAATTATGAGGGTTTCGTTGTTTGCTATAAGGTCATAGATATACCTAATAGCCTTCAATAGTGCTACTAGTACTCTGACAACAAGAGTGTGCAATTTACAGGTGGGAAAAAAGAGTTATCGCTTTTTTAGTCTGGAATACTTTCACCTTTCTTTTTGGATAGCCGTTGTATTATTGTAGATTCCTGCTACAATTCCTGATGTTTCCTTCTTTGCTCAGGATCCTGAGCCAGCTGCAGCCACAGCTGGTGATGAGGGGAAGTCCAAACCTCCACAAGTGTTTCGTCTGGAGAAAGTAGGTCAATACTTGAAGAATGAGGATGTAACTCAGCCTCCCAACTACCACGAGAACCCGTGGATACAGTTCCTCAATGCTGCTACATTTCATAAAGGTTTGAAAAAAAATGAAGCGTGTTTGGCTACCTGATCTTACTGATCTTAGAAATACAATGGTCTCTTTGTGTTTAACACCCCTCATATGCACACACGATCACATGCATGAACACAAATACACTCCCACACAAAACACACGCACACACACACACACAGACACACTCACACACACACACACACACACACACACACACACACACACACACACACACACATACACACACATGCACACACACACACACAAACACTCGTGCACACTCACACATATATCACAGCGCACCGGCAGTGGAATTTTAGATGTAGCTGGGGGTTCGCCGCCGAGCGCCTTATCATGTCGGGGTCATGGGGGTCAGCTCCCTATCGCAGCTCTATCTAGGCTGACTTGATTTTTGGTACTTTTCAACGTACAGTTTTAGGTGTATTCTTGTATTTATGGTAATTATTATTTAATGCACCCAAAGCACGCATTTCTGCTCTTTAGACTAAAAAAACCGCGGATATTGTAACTTGTCTGGTTATTTCGTTAGACGTGCTGAAGTCGACATGACACTGCTAAATTGTTAAATTTTTTGGGACAGGTGCGAATAAAAAAAATCAATTTTAAAAAAAACGGCCCGACAAAATCTTTCGAACTTTTGGAACATGAACGACATAACATTGGTGCAGATACTCAGAAAAGATGGCATCTGTGTATGTAATAGATAGATGTAATTTTGCAACTGTATCCACCTGACACACAATTCGCTATGAAGTGATTCCACCAAATACAACTTTATGTGTCTGATATAATTGTGAATATCCGCATATTTTCTCGAAAGTTTATAAACATTACCCTCATACCACTGTATGAAAAAATAAAAATCGATTTTAGTGCCAGAATACATCTACAATGTAATACATGAAAAGTATCTGTTACATTCTAGAAATTCCTTACTTTTCTTAAAACATTAGGCTGTCAGTTAAACCTCCATAAATTATTCCTTATTTTTCTTAAAACGCTAGATCTAGGTTTTGTAAGTTGACTGAATAACAGGGATACCTTCTCGTAATTGGGTTATAAGAGTAATTTCTAGCTTTCCAGTGACACCGAATCAGCACCAGACCTTTCCAGCTTTTATTTTTGGTTCAATGACCATTTGCAATAACTGACATTTCCGACACAAAAACTAAGAATGAAACAAGAAGTTTTCTCTACCCATGTATTTACACAGTTTTGTGTTTTTAAAAAGTCGCATAATGTATCTTTCTTAGTTGTATGCAGGCTGCCACAGACACAACATGATTCATGAACAAACGCAGAGTAACTCACTCTTGTTTAATGGTAAAACAAGAGCTAACGCTGAGTGTCTTTAGTTAAAAAATGCAGATGTGCATCTTCCTTCTCTTATAACTTGACTATTACTACTTGTGCAGATTTTAGATTTCCCATGGTGAAAGACATGATATTCGTAGACAGTTTAACACAGATTTTGTAGAGATCTACACTGGTAGGTAAGGTCTACACTGAGCCTTCTCGGACAAGGGCGAAAAATCTCGGAGGTCTCATGTTCAAGTTGCGCACATTAATGATCCCTTGGTGGTCCAAAATCAATAAGAGTGGGCTTCGGCCGCCACTCGGGCAAAAAATTTTCTACCTACTGAAAATATTTGGTGTGTTCTGCGTGCTAATATGACTTTATGCAGTTGTGAGCGCCGTATAGTAAAATGCTTACCAGAAGACACCCCTCCCCCCCAAAAAGAAAATCCTACTCACCCACACACAGACTAATACACCTGTGCAAACGCACACACACACTCAAACACACTCGTGCACATGCACTCTCACATACTCTGTGTGAGAACATGGTAGTTCAAGATGAAGTACAACATTCCAGCCACCCGGCTTGATCTTGCTTACAGATACGTTTGTGTTTTTAAAATTACTTTTTTAAAAATCTCTCATTTAGTGACATAAATATTCATTTAGTCTCAACAATATTATATGAGAAATTTTATGAGCTCTACATCCACAGTAAAATACCTTGTGCTCTAAGTGGTTAGTTGGCCCTTTAAGTTGGGAGGGGGGATGAAAGTGGAGCTGAACACCTCTTCTTGTTGTGTTTATAACACCCCCACCACCACCCTCTTAATCTCCAACCTCCCCTTAGTCCATATTATGATTTTCTCCTTTGTCCCAGCTTACTTTATGTAAGGCCAATCTGTCCTTAGATCGTTTCCTAGAATAATTGTTCTGATCATAATGGTTTCTGAAATATTGTTGTCCTAATCTGAACCTGGTGATGTGTCGTCATTGTCACGCCAACTTTCCACCCACTATTAACTGATGCTCACACCCTGAATGTTTTTGTATGTTTTCAGACAGCAAAGTGTTGTACCCCAGCATGCTGGGCAAGTCATTGCTGCAGAGAAAAGAATTGCTGGACAAGGCTGTGGGCAATGCTGTTTTAGAGCCTGCTGTAGGTGCCTGCAGTTACTGTGTATATACTACACTTAATTCCCAGCAGTTCATGCATTAGGATTTTGTATAAATAAATATGATTCACATTGTTGTGGTTTTTTGCATGTAAAATGTATTTACTTTTACAAATAAAGGCTGCGTAAGGTATTTTTGCCAAATGAAAATGACTAAATCGACTAAAAAGCATAAAATTAGTATTAAAATTGGTGGTTTTATAATAACATTTTCGCTCTGAAGTTAGGTGATTCGACAGTGGCTATTTCTGCGTCCCGTCCGCCATTTTGAATTTTTTCAGGGGCACAGTAGGAAAAGCAGTTAAAATGGAATCAGAAGACTCTGACCTCGATCTAAATGGTAGCTACGGTGAATGTTTTGTCAAAAAGGCCCACGATAAGGAGTAATTCGGCGAGAACGAAGAATATGAACCTCCTCTATGTGCAGGGAGCGAGTCTGGAAATAGGTAAGTTTCTTTATCCATGTTATCAGTGTGTTGATCTAAAAAATTCACCTACGTAATGAATAATATCACTGCCATTTTAAGGAAATATCTTTAAAAAAAATTTTATGTAACAAAACATAGGTTGCTAAGAAGTTGTTTGCGTCAGCCGGTCAGTGACGCAGTGCAAGTTCAGGAACTATACACAAGTGCATTGTTGTTTGTTTCTTCCCCATAGTTTTATGTGTGCATTTCTCAGTCTAAACTGATCAAAATGATGTAGTTCAAGAATTACAAGCCGAACATTTTTATTTAAAAAAATGTCTGTTGGTATTGTTCCCGCAGTGAACACCAACAACCTGAGCCTGATACAGTATCTACCACCATCACCACCGGTGCTGCACATGGCAAGAACAGAGCATCTCCAGGACTTTGTCCGCGTTTTTTACCTGACCGGGCTCCAGGACTGCACCTCTCTCGGTCTGACTTGGATAGAGACCAGGAGCTACATTTGCCCAGCTGCATGTTTCAAGCAGTTCTTTTGTGCTCGGATGGTGGGATAGTTGCAGCTGCATCATCGGCATACAGAGATGTAAGGTGTCAAAAAGCTGTCACTGTACAACCCCTGATGAGTTTTATTTATTTGTTTACTTTTTGTTTTTCGCCAGAAGAGAAATTGTATTGTACCTAAACATGTGATTGGGTAGACTGACGTTACGACATATGGCGATAATTTTTCAACAATTATTTTCATTCCTTGAATGCCTCTGTCTTGTTTCATGCAAGTTCCTGATTTCAAAGGGGGTTGGGGAGAGGGAGGGGGTGATTATTATTTTATCACTTAGTATCACTGTATTACATTCTGAGTAATTTGGTGTTGTTTTATTGATGACAATTGTCAAAAAGTGAAATTTCCAGTTTCAAGGGCAATAACCGAGAATTTGTAGAGTGCACAAGAACGACCCTCATTTGTTTATTTTCCAACAGAATGAAGTGTCTTTGACACATTACACCGTAACTTTCTCATGAAATGAATGTAAACTCTAAATTGTCATACACTTTTTATTTCTGATTGTTGGGGAAGTCTGATTTCTGTTACTGCATCTATTTTCTAGTAACAAGAAAAATAAGTCACACCTCAAGATGGCTTGACAAATATGACATCTATTGGTTAGGTCTGAAAGACCAACCAATTCCCTTACATTGGTATATAATATGTCTATCTGGAACAGATAGATCATTGCAGGAGGCTTGAGAGCAAGAAGTCATGATATGAAATTTCCAGCTTCAAGGGCAATAACTGGGAATTGTAGGATGTACTAGAATGGCCCTTATTTCTTTATTTTCCAACAGAATGGTGTGTCTTTGGTACGTAATATGCAGAATTGAGAATTGAATGTATTTTTTCATGAAATAAATGTAAACTCTAAATTTGCAAACACTTTTTTTTCCTTTTTTGTTTTTGTTTGGGAAGTGTGATTTCTGTTTTTGTTTCTATTTTTAGTAACAAGGAAAATAGGTCATGCCTCAAGAGAGCTTGACTAAAATGAAATCTATTGACTAGGTCTGAAAGACCATCCAATTCCCTTTTGTGTCACGACGCGGTGGAATCAGGCACTCGTCAATTTTTTGGCATGTGGAGTTATTGGTATCATCTGAAAGCAGATTTATTTGCCTTGCTTCCAAGGAAATCGTCATCATCATCCAGTACTAGATCGGCAACAGACATCGGCGATCATGGATCTCCATTCATTCCTTTGCCTGGATACTCTAAACTAAAAAAAGCTACGTTTCCCTGATCTTTCCCTGTTACCCATTTGTTTAGGTTCCCTAAGTGTGTTGTTCTGGGCTTTTCCATTATTGTTCTTGGGATATTACAGCAGTGGTTTCCCATTGCCTACTGCCGGTTTGTATACAGTTTTCTCTGCTAGCTTTGTCAACCACTGACAATCCACAAAGTAGTGGGGGCTTTGGTAGGATTTATGGCACTTCCTGTTGCCAAGATGGTCCCTTCTTCGAGTGTGTGAGGTATTTATTGAAGCACCTGTGCCACTAGGGTTCTCCTCTACTCTCCACGGCCATCTCCCATTTGGTTCGTGACTGCTTAACAGCTGACCTCCATATCTAGAAGCCTTTCCCCTATCCACCACCCGCGGATGCGCTGGGTTGGGTCCAAGGAAATAAACACCCATTTATCTTGAACAGAACTCAAGATACGATTGAAGGAAGTGAGGTCGCCTGGTTTCAGTGTTGTAACTAGAGATAAAATGGCCGCCAAAGTTTGGAAACTGAAAAATGGCACATTCTGTGTCTTTAATAAATGTTTTTCAGTAAAATTTCTTATGGAAATGTGCTGTTATATGGTTAAGCTAAAAAATAAAAACGTTTAAACTCGACGCTGCCTCACATATATACAGTATGTCCATCTGGAGCAGATAGATTATTGCAGGAGGCTTGAGGGTATGGAAGACGCCTAAGACAAATGAAAAATGCCAAAATATGCCAAACTGCTTGGAGTTAGTAAGCAACATCTTCTTGTGGTAGATTTTCATATACACAAGGAAATGCTGTCAACTTTTGTAACTGGTCATTAACGGCTCAAATGTTTTTTTGAACTTTGAAAAAAGAAAAAGAAAAATGCCTTTCTACCGATTTAATTAAAAGAAATGTTGAGCTTACCGCTTTCTTGATATCTGTTTTACTTCAATAGCCAATATGGAAATACATTTTCATACATATGAAAGAAAGATGTTCACAAATAGCAAGAACATGCTTGAGAATTGCAAATGAGTGCGTTATTCACTCTGGGTGCATGTGAGGGAAGGTAACAATTTCTTCATTTGTGCATTTTTTAATGTATCACATGGGCATTTAGTTTACAAATAAATTGTTTGAGCAGTGTAATATAAAAGGCAATCAACTTAAACTTTAGTTGGTATGTCATTGTGGTTGGAGTTGGAAGTAAGGTATGAAAGGTAATAGGAGTCAGAACAGGCAAAAAAATGTTTTCTTCATATCAAAATACAATTTTACTAAAAGATATATACTTTGGTTTCGAATATTATATTCCTTTTTTGAGGTGTTAACTTTGTTTAAGTGCATATCCATGCAAGTTCTTAATGTAGTTGTAGCTCGTTTTCAAGCCTCATTTTCTCATGACTTTTTCTTTCAGCGATAGTGCTCTCTTTCTTTTGGGAATATCTCATTGTACATAATTGAAACAAACTTTGTTTTTCACCCACTTCAAAGTTTATAAGAGAGCTTTTCTTGTGATGGCAAGATCAGTGTTGCATTAATCTTAAACTTTAGCCTCACTTTGAAATAGTGCAGAACTCATGGTAAACATTTCTGATCAAAGAAGGAATACATATAAAATATACAATCAGATCAAGGTTTATTATGAACTTAAATTCTTTGCATGCTCCTGCAATCTCCCTTGTGTCACTCATCATGTTTAGTATGTGTAGCCTATGACCTTATTAAAGTTCTGTAGTAATAAGACTTATTTTATATGTGATTTTAAATGTATCATTTGTTTTATTATTCCATTTGATTTTATATTTCAGCTGTACCGTTCTGACAAATTAAGATGATTTTTAGCTTTTCATTGTGTTTTTTAATTTGTTTTGTACAGAAAGTGATAGGAGCCTCAATGTCTCCAGTCAGCTGTTTCTCTCTCTTTTCAGTCAAAGAGTAAGTAACTTTCTCCTACTTGTCCTTTTCCCTCTTTCAGTCTCTTTTATTTGTTTGTCTGTTTGTAAGCCCTTGTTTCTATGTCAAAGTCTCCTTTTCTTCAGCATAAGGATTTGACTTCTTCTTCTTTTTAATTCTCCTTGCCTGTGGTTTGAGGATGGTACTTGTGAGTCCTTTTTATTTTGTGTTTCTCTGTGTTTATGTGTCTGTCTTGCTTTTTGAAGTTTTCCCTCATACTACATGTAATGATGGTTATTGTGTTGATGTTTTCTTTATTAAAACTGAAAGGCTCCTTCTACCTCAACCCCCCCCCCCTTTCTCTCTCTCTCTCTCTCTCTCTCCCTCCCTCCCTCTCTCCCCCCCCCCTCTCTCTCTCTCTCTCTCTCTCTCTCTCTCTCTCTCTCTCTCTTTTTTTGTTTGTTGATTGTCTAGAAATATATTATGTGTAGTGTCACTGTATACTTTGTGAGGAATGATTGGTTTTGTATTCTTTTTGAAGAACTGTTTTGAACATTGGAGGGGGTTTAAAAATTGCAATGTGTTTCAAAATAGCTGTTTAGCTTTTATCTGTCTTTTCAAGTAAATTCCAGACTTTGATTGTTGTTTTGCAGCCAAAATTTTGACTAGGAATCGTAATGTCAAAATTACATGTGAACACTTGTGTAGTAACTGTTTTTTAAAATATTTGAATAATTATCCTTTTTATTTGCATCATGTTTCAGGTCCCCTGAACCATCTTCCCAGCCTCCTAAAGTCTGCCAGTAAGTTTTTTCTTTCCTTTTAAAAAAAAATATTGTTGCGACTTGGTGACACAGCTCCGTTGTGCTAATTAATAGAACAACAATAACTTACTGAGACTGTTTTGCGCTGTGAATGGAGATGAATATGAGGTGTGTTTGTGAGTGAGTATTAGGCAGTTTTGTTTTAGTTCACTAACTGACATCTTGTTGAGTTTCTACATTGGTATCCTCCAATGCTGAACATGACAGCCTGTGTTCCACGCAGATCAATACTTTAAGTAACACTTCCCATGATTTTTACTCGAACATTTCACAAGACCAAGACTTTCATGGATTTACAAAATCCTTACAATTACTATGTCCCAGCCACAACATGAGTCAACAGAAACACTGCTACCAAAGATGATTGATATCTCTTACCTCAAATACAAGAATCCAATAATCATCTGTCTGGATGCACCACTTACTTACTAACTTACTAACTTACTTACTTACTTACTTACTTACTTACTTACTTACTTACTTACTTACTTACTTATTTTACTTGCTTACTTACTCACTCACTCAATCACTCACTCACTCACTCGCTCGCTCGCTCACTCACTCGCTCGCTTACTTACTTACTTAGTTACTTACTTACTTTGAGAATAGGTGTCACTGCAGGCAGCACAATGCCATAGCTGCTCCCCCTCCTCTCCAGGGTCCATGAAAGGGTCTGCCTGCTGATCGTGCGAGTTAACAGTTGGTTGGATATTCTTCTGGCTTTTCCACGCAGGTTGCTGTCTCTCCCCGACCCTCTAGAGACACCAGCTTCCCTTAGTTTATCCATTGTGTGTTGAGTGGTGCCTTTATCCTCTCTGTGGTCGTTGAACCATGCTGCTAATGCTGCCATGACTGTTGGTGGATCTAATTGCATGATGCTGCCCATCTCAGCCTGGCCGGCTAGCTTATCAGCATGTTCATTGCCTTGAACTCCTGCATGACCAGGGCTAAATATCCATACAATCCTTGTGAGTCTGCTGCTTTGTATTGCCTCTTGCCAGTCTGCATACATCATGTGTTTCTTCACTTTTTCGAGGGTACTCATCAAGTTGGTGACGAGGATGGCAGACTGATACTCCGTCGTCTTAATCCAGTTAAGGGCTTCTGTGATAGCTTTCATCTCCATGCACTTGCTGGACGTGGTTTTACTTGTGGTGCCTGACAGCTCTTTCTGTATGACCCCGTTTACACGAGCGCTGAAAGCCCATCCAGATTTGACACCACGCTGCACTGATCCATCTGTGAAGATGACTACTATGCCCTGTTCACTGTTCTCCTTTATCAGCATCTCTACCGTGGCATTGGCTGCTCCCTCTGGCCACTCACGACATTCTCTGCCTAAGGTTGCTACCACTCGGGTATACTGCCCAGGTGTGTCAGTGACGCTGACCCATGCGCTGCCCCTTCGGATGTCTTGCACCTCACAGCATTTAGCCAAAGTCATCGCTGCCTCTTTCATCCATTCAGTCCCACTGAGAAGACGCGTGTGTACAGTTCATCACACTTTGTCATGCAGTGGGTTCTGATCATCGGTGCTGGCTCTCAAATATGCTTTCACCTGAGCTATCTTGTGACTCTCTACCATGGCTGGGAGGTCCAAGAGATAATGCATAGCCTCGCAGGATGTGTCTCATGTGCACCCGAGGACAATCCGTATACCTTCGTTCTGAATTCTTTCAAGGTGCTTCAGCTGCGAAGTTTACAAGGTGAGGAGACTGAGGCCATAGTTTATCACAGACAGCACGAGAGTCTGGTATAGTATGGCTAAAATTCTCTGTGGCAGTCTGCTACACTTCATGGTTTTCAGTGCAGTCTGACCTTTTCTGGCTCTTGTGATGATCCTGGTTATGTGATCTTTACCTGAGAGTGATCTGTCAAAAGTGATACCTAGATACCTCAGTGAGTGCTCACGCTTCAGGATCCTGTCGTTAATGGTGACTGTAGGCATCTCTGCTTTCACGGCGTGATTGTTCAGCGAGCACCACAGCACACAGGCCTTTTTGGGGTGGAGTTTGCCGTTGTGGTCTACACACCATTGCCCAATTCGATCCAGTTCCTGTTGCACCGCGTTAGCTGTTTCTTGCCGGTCCTTACCTTGTCTGTATACACAAGGACATCATCTGCAAAACCCTGCTCACGCCCTGGGCCTTCCAGTTGTCCAGAAGTGATTCCAACTGTGTTTATGTTGAATAACACTGGTGAGAGCGATGATCCCTGTGGCAACCCCACAGTGTGATGCTTCTGGTGTCAGATGTCCAGTTTCTCAGCCGCATTGCAACTTGCCTCTTCAGCAATGCCTCACCTACCCATATCATGAGCTGGGGGCTAATCTTAAGGTTGATCATTGTTCTCAAAAGGACATTGTACTCAACCCTATTATAGGCATCCACGAGGTCAAGTGCTGCTATCAGATCATTTTCTTAAAACCTCTATAGTTCTACATACCAACTGACCTGAAAAAAAAGTTTGTTCAAAGAAATGTCCTTAACTTTCTTCTTTATGTCCCAAATAACTTTAAAATTGACGGAAAACTAGAACATGCCTCCGGATTATATTTTTTATGAAGTTCATTGCTGTTGCACTACTGAAAGATGCTACATCATGTTTTTGCAGCGAAGATGTATCAGGAATCGAAATTTCCTAAATCAGCTTGTGTATTATTTGCTCAGTCAAATGGATAGATATCTGTAACAAACATATTGTTCCAAACAAAAGGTTCATTTTGAAATTGGTTGCAAATTTTGAAAGGTTTGGGTCCATAGGAGATAAAAACTTGAATCCAAGTCCTGAGTAGCACATGGTAGTCAGCCTGTAAAAACTGCACTCTTGAAAAGGTTGTGATTGTCCATGATTCAGTAAACTCTGACCGATACCTCGTCATCCTCAGTGCTTCCAATCTTCCATATTTTACTGAAATCTGTACTTTCTGACTTTTCCATATTTGCTCCCTCATCGTTATCAACTAGATCTATTAAAAGGTGCCATAGCGTAAGGCTACCAAAATTCAGTGGAAAAGGATCCGTATTCGCCTTCATATCGTCTTGTATAGGTTATTCTCTCGGCAGCAAGTTTAATGTTATAATAACTTGCCAGATTGTGCATTTCCTGCAATCAGCCGATTCCAGCTATGCATTCATTGCCGGTTGGTCAGCAATTCATTCTTACCTGCAAATCTATCAAAATCTGGCTAGCCTTGATAGCAAACTTTTTGTGCCAATTTCCTCCTCTTTTTCATTCACTCATTCTTTCTGTCTAGCTTCAGATTGTGTCCGTGGCTACTAAATTTGTGCATTGGTCAAGTAAATTGACTTGTGATATTAGAGCGAAAATCGGTATCAGAAAGAATCTATCAGGATTTCTCTGGGCATCACGTTACAACTCAGGAAATAGTTTCTCTCCCTGACAGGGTAATAGCCCTGTGTGATGGGCTGCTTCTACTGACTGAACCAGCCTTCAGGGTTTTCATGGAATGATGAATAATTTTTACTGCTTCATCCCACATGTTGCTGACATCTTAACCCCACTCCATGCCTAGACAAGTGGCAAAGGACAAGACATTGAGTGGTCTATAGCATGCCAAACTGTTTTTGAAAAAACTACAGTAGCATTAGTTAAGGCGGCATTGTATTATCATCCCCAATCAGATACTCCAAGTCTCACTGTCGATGCATCCAACACAGCAGTAGGTGCCTTACTCGAATAATGAGGATGCCAGTCTTGGTCCTGTTCGCTTTCTTTTCCTGGAAACTTTCTGAAATGGAATTAAAGTGTGGTGCTTTTGATTGTAAACTTTCTGGCAGCTTATACTGCCATCAAACATTTTTATTACTTTTTTAAAAACTGTATACACAGATCGAAAAAAGCAAAACTGATGGTTGTCCTCTAGACATTTCTTCTTACATTTTTTAGTTTACGACCGGCATCCGACACACTTGTAGCAGGTACAATGTGGTGGCTGACTCCCTTTCACGTTTCAGTCCCACCTAATTTCAGAACACTATATTGCTTCTCTTGGTGATTTCGATGGCCTTGCTTAAAACCAGATTCAGTCTGACAAGGTGGAGGCTTATTGCGAAGCTACCACAGTTCTTCAGCTACTAGATGTTCAGCTAGGGACGTTGACCCTGCTCTGCAATATATCCACTTGTATACTGAGGCAGGTGTTATCAAATTCTTGGGCTTGCCCAGTTTTGAACATGGTCTTGGACTCTCACATGCAAGTGCACGTCCCACTCAATGAGCCATCAGCCAACATTTCATATGGCATGATATGAAACATAATATACACAAGTGGTGCAAAGAATGTTATGCATGCCAAACATCTAAAATCCACCAACCCACAAGAGCACCAGTAATGGAACACTTTCCTCTTCATATCATATTCTGCAATCTGCATGTGGACCTTGTTAGGCCTCTGCCAACCAGTCAGGGCATGAACTATCTTTTCACTATAACAGACCGTTTCACCAGATGGCCCGAAGCTATTCCTTTACCAGATGCCCATTCCTCCACCTGCACCTCAGCTCTCATCCATCTCTGGATTGCCAGGTTTGAGGTTTTGGAAGACGTTCTCTCACACCGTGGCAGGCAATTCACTTCAAATCTTTGGGCAGGGTGTAAAAAGATATTAGGCATTGAGACTCGTACAACCACAGCTTATTACTCCCAGAGAAATGACATGGTGGAATGTTGCCACCTTCAACTCAAAGCATGCACTGCTGGTCTTTACTGTCCATGTTTTTTTGAGGGGGAGTTTGCTCTTCTTGGACCCCAATTATTCTCCAATTGAACTTGTTGATGGCTCAACACTTCAGCTTCCAGGGGAATTTCTTCAGCCGCTTGATGCAAGGACAGTTAGACCTAAGTGTATTATCTTTTGAATTAAGCACATCATATGCTCACTGCATCCTCCAGTTCCAAGGTTCCATGGACAACAGTCTGTCCACATTTTTACATACTTGTCTTCAACAGGTTATGTG